TTGAAGGTAAACAAGTGGCCATCTAGCTCAGAAGCAACAAAGCCCACATGGAAGAAACAAACCAGCCTGTGTGACCACAAGGTGTCAAAGAGATCAGGTTTATCAGGCATCATAGAACAAAAAATCGTACCATTGTAAATGAGGGTGAGTGGAGACCCAAAGCCCATCTGTAGGCAACTGGACACCCCCTTACTGATAGGTTGCGGGGAGGAGACGAGTCAGTCAGGGTGCAGGGTAGCAACGATGAAACATACAACTTTCCTCTAGTTCTTTTTTTTTTTTTTATCATTTTATTGGGGCTCATACAACTCTATCACAATCCACACATACATCAATTGTGTAAAGTACACATATATTAGTTGCCCTCATCATTCTCAAAACTCTCACTTTCAGCTTGGGCTCCTGGAATCGGCTCATTTTCCTTTGCCCCCCCTTCCTGCTCCCCCCTCCCCCTCATAAACCCTTGATAATTTATAAATTATTTTATCTTATCTTACACTGCCCGGAGTCTCCCTTCACCCACTTTTCTGTTGCCCATCCCCCAGGGAGGAGGTTATATGTAGATCCTTGTGATTGGTTCCTCCTTTCAACCCACCCCCCACCCTTCCCAGTATCGCCACTCTCACCACTGGTCCTGAGGGGTTCATCTGTTCTGGGTTCCGTTTCCAGTTCCCACCTGCACCGCTGTGCATTCTCTGGTCTAGCCAGGTTTGCAAGGTGGAATTGGGATCATGATAGTGGGGGGGGAGGAAGCTTTTAAGAACTAGAGGAAGGTTGTGGGTTTCATTATTGCTACACTGCATCCTGAGTGACTCATCTCCTCCCCACTACCCCTCTGCAAGGGATGTCCAGTTGTCTACAGATGGTATTGGGACCCCTTCACGCACTCCCCTCATTCATGGTGATATGATTTTTCCCACCGCCTTTGGTGCTTGATACCTGGTCCCCTAGACACTTCATGATCACACATGCTGGTGTGCTTCTTCCATGTGGGCTTTGTTGCTTCTGGGCTAGATGGCTGCTTGTTTACTTTCAAGCCTTTAAGACCCCAGATGCTATATCTCTTGATATTCGTCTTCCACGTTGATAAGGGGAAGGTGATCACACTGTGATGGTTTTTGTTCTTTGGTGTCTGCTACCTGATCCCTTCAACACCTCGTGTTCACACAGGCTTGTGTGCTTCTTCTCTGTGGGCTTTGTTGCTTCCGAGCTAGATGGCCGCTTGTTTGCCTTCAAGCCTTTAAAACCCCAGACCCTATATTCTTTTGATAGCCGGGCACCATCAGTTTTCTTCACCATGTTTGCTTATGCACACGTTTGTCTTCAGTGATCATGTCAGGAAGATGGTAATCACGGAATGACTGTTTAGCTGAGCAAAGTGCTCTTGTATTAAGGGAATGTGTGTGAGGAGGCCCAATGTCCACCTGCTATCCTACTACTAAACCTATACATATATGCACATAGGTCTATTTCCCCCATAATCATAAATATATTTAGATATGCACATGTCTGTATTTAGGCCTCTATGTATGTCCTTTGCCTCCTACGCTTTTCCTCTATTTTCTTATGCTTTCCTTCCTCCCCACACTATCATGACCCCAATTCTACCTTACAAATCTGGCTAGACCAGAGGATGTACACTGGTCCAGATAGGAACTGGAAACACAGGGAATCAGGACAGATGAACCCCTCAGGACCAGTGGTGAGAGTGGAAATACCTGGAAGGTAGAGGGAAGGTGGGGGTTGGAAAGGGGGAACCGATTACAGCGATCTACATATGACCTCCTCCCTGGGGGATGGACAACAGAAAAGTGGGTGGAGACGTCGAGCAGTGTTAAGATATGACAAAATAATATTAATTTATGAATTATGGAGGGTTTATGAGGGAGGGGGGAAATGAGGAGCTGATATTAGGGGCTCAAGTGGAAAGCAAATGTTTTGAGAAAGATGATGGCAACAAACGTACAGATGTGTTTGACACAATGGATGTATGTATGATTAACAGCTGTACCAGCCCCCAATAAAATAAAATTAAAAAAAAGAAAATGATGGCAACAAATGTACACATGTGCTTGACACAATGGATGTATGTACGGATTGTTATATCAGTGTACAAGCTCCCAATAAAATGATTTTAAAAAAACACAGTGAGACTGGAAAGGATTGAGGGATTGAAGTCCAGCAAACCTGTGACGCTTGAAAGGCTCTGCTAACTCTTGAAAATATCAAGCTAAGTAAGGATGTGATTTATCAAATTACTTTCACTAAGGCTGCATAATAGACCAGCCCCTAACTTTACTATTATCAAACAGTTGTTAAAAGACTGAATTCTGTTTTTAAGAGGTCATGTTGAAGTTCTAGTCCCTGTACACGTGAGTGTGACCTTGTTTGAAGAAATAGTGTTTTTCTTGCAGACGTTAACTGTTAACTGATGATCAGTTCCTTTTGGTGCAGCAACTTTGTGGACCAGGAAAACCATTCTCACCAAACTCAATCTCACTGCCATGATGACTCACAGTAACCCATCTACAGGGCACGGTAGCACTGTCCCTGTGAGACATGCAACTGTAACTTTATGGGAACCTTGTCTTCTTCCTGTGCAGTGGCTGGTGGTTTTGAACTGTTGATTTTGCTTTTAACAGCCCAACATGTAAACTATGCAACCTGGCTCCCCAGAAAGTCACATTAAAAAAAACTTCAGTGCAGCAATGAGATATTATGTCACCCCAACATTAATAGTCACAAGAAAACAAAAGACAGGGAACTACGAATACTGGCAAGGAGGTGGAGAGTTGAGATTATTGTTAATGGGACTGTAAGATGGTCCAATTACTGTGAAAAACAGTATGGTCCTTTCATTAATAGCTGGGAATATAAGTATCATATGATCTAGCAATCTCAACATTGGGTATCTTACAGGAGGAGTAAGGGCAAGACCCTAATAGACACCTATATATATCCACGTTCACCGAGCACTCTTCAGAACAGCAAAAAGACTGAAACAATCCACATGTCCATCAACGGAATACCGATTAAGCAAACTACAATGGAACACTAAGCAGCATCAAAAGAATGACGACGACTTAGAAGATCTTATAACAGAGATGGACCTGGAGAGCACTAGGCTGAGAAAAGTAGGCACATATTAACTTGAATAAAAAAGCAAAAATAAATGGATAAACAAACAAATAAAATACTAAGTGTAGCAGATCTTCCTTTTTAAAAAAAGGAGTTTAAAGGAACCATAGGAAAAACAATTATATATGAATAAAGTGGACCCTAACCCTATATGACTAGTGTTTCCTAAGAGAGGAAGACATGATACGGTTACAGATATCATGTAAAGATGGAAGCAGATGTTATCTAACAAACTATCCTGTGAAGGATTTCCAGGAGAACCCAGAAACTAGAAACTAGAACAGCTTCTCTAAGTACTGATAAGGCTTATACCCTGATTTTTTATTTCTATGCTTCAGAGCTGTGAGAAAATAAACTTCTGTTCGAAGCACTGACTTAGTTATTTTATAATGGCAGGCCTAGAAAATTAACACAGGTGTATCCAGCCCCCAAATAAATATTAGAAAGGTGAAAACACAGAGGAAAACATGAAAACTTAAACCATTAGGCAGAAAATCATCGAGGAATTAAATACTTGGAACAACACTATCTAGTTAACAGGTATCTATAGAATATTCTACCCCCAAAGAGTATATATACATTCTTCTCAAATGCACGTGGAACACCGATGCACCTGGAACAGTCTCTAGAACAGATTATATATCAAGGTCATAAAGCAAACATCAATATTTTTGAAACTACAGAAATAAGTTATCTGATTATAAGAGTATAAAATTTGAAATCACTAACAGAAATAAAATTAAAAACTCAACATTCTGTAAGAATGAAACAAAACACTGAAATAATACTGAGTTAAAGACTATTCAAAAGAGAAAGTAGAAACTACTGGGAGATAAATGAAAATGAAGAAACAACATACCAACACACAGCAGTGCTTAGAGGAAAATGGATAGCTATACATGCAATGCTATCAAAAGGAGGAATATCTCAAAACAGAACTAACATTGAAACATCAGAAAGTGTACAGCAAACTAATTTCCAACACTAACAATTAGAAAGAAATAATAAATAAAATAATAAATATTAAGAGAACAGACAAATCCAAGAATCAATGAAACCAAAAGGTGGTTCTTAGAAAAATGCAACACAATTAACAAACCTTTACTCAGCTTGACCCAGAAAAATAGGGGAGAAGAAAAAATTCCTTTAAAGTCAGATAAGAAAGAAGGGATATTACTATTGACCTTACAGAAAGAATATCATAAAGGAATACTACGAAGCATAAAACTAAATAAAATCTTAATGATGCTATTTCATACTTCCAGAGATGTGAAAAAAGAAAGTCTAACAGTACCAAATAGTCAAAGATGGACACAGAGGTCCTCACCTTCAGTATTTATCAGGGAAATGTGCATTAAAACCACAATGAGTGTGTATTGGGAGGGCACAGAACAGGAGGATTGCCCACAGGTGACTGTCTGGTAAGCTGATGTAACCAATTTGGAAAACCATTTGATATTATCTTTTGTTTAACTTGTACATTTCTGATGCCTATACTAATAGAAAAGCTCTTGAACATATGCACCGAGTCACATATATAACAAAATGTTTATAAAACAATTTTCAAAATAAGAAAACTGAAAGTATTCCTGTACAATAGTGTGTAGTCATACAACAAAATTACCATATCTGTATAAATGAAAATAAGTATTTATAACATATTGTGAAAGAATAAATAATACTGAGTAAATGTCACAAATATACGTGAAGTATGCTTATATATATCCATATCTAGATATCTAAAGGAAATACGTAAAAATACAGCTATTTAGTTTATAGATTAACATTATAATGGAATATAATCTTCAGAAAATTCATGGGTGAGCGTCAATGTTAATGAAATGGAATAATTTGTTTCTTACCACCCCTCTTAGGAAATCCTGTTGAGAGGAATCTCAGTGAAGTCATTAGGTTATCAACTTTTTGACCAATGAATCTGACCGTTATGATTGCATATGGAAGGCACTGCCTAGGTTTATCTACTGGCTTTGAAAAAATACTGTATTCATAGAAGTATACCTGAAAGATAAGAAAAGGGAAAAAAGAACATTTTAAATGAAAAAAAAAAAACCACCCTCAAAGAATTGCATGATGTTATTTATTCAGCATCTTCCATATATACCCTTCCCTACTCTCTTTAATCTCATTTTCTTAAAAAAAAATTTTTTTTTCTATTCCACTACACTTTTTCCTTGGTAGATGGCTAATATCTCTTTCAGATTAAAATCTATTCTTAGAATAAATTTTTTTCATTAAAAGGTAATCTTGCATATGCTCTGAGCACTACATTTTAATCAATAGCAAAATCAATTAGAAAAATAACATTACATTTTGTGTGGAAGTATATATTCAGAACATTAAAGATTTAGTAAGTGTTCCAGTAACATGATAGAAAATTTTTATCTGGTACTTAATAATAAAGGAGCCTTTCCTATTGGTGCAAACATTAAGCCAGCAGTTCTCAACCTGTGGGTCGCAATCCCTTTGGGGGCTGAACGATCCTTTCAAAGGGGTCGCCCAATTCATAACAGTAGCAAAATGACAGTTATGAAGTAGCAACGAAAGTAATGTTATGGTTGGGGTCACCACATATGAGGAACTGTATGAAAGCGTTGCGGCCTGAGGAAGGTTGAGAATCACTGCATTAAGCCCTCGGATGCTAACCAAAGGGCTGGCAGTTGCAAACCATCTAGCTGCTTTGTGGGACAAAGACCTGGTGATCCGCTCCAAGAACATCCAGTCTGAAACCGTAGGGAGCAGTTCTACTGTCACAAGAGGCTGTTGGGAGTTGAAAGTCAACAAGCCAGCATCTTCAGAACAAAAACAGCTTCAAAGTGAACCTTTTCTACTTTTAAAAGTACAATGGTTGGAAAACATTATTACAAAAGAGCCTATTGACAAGAGAAGTAAGGATGCTTTATAAATTAGAAAAGGAATCTATGGGACATCTAACTAATGTAGCCACTCTATTTAAATGGTTCTAACTATATATTTAAGAACTTAAATATATATGGTGGGCTAAAATTTTTTATTTAATATTTTAGGAAATTGTTTTAGGCCTTTGATCATCATCACCCATGGCACTTTCAAGCAGTCACATGAACTGAAAAGTTAACATACGGCTGAATTGTAGGCTTGGAAATCAATGGTATCTTTCAGAGAAGGTGCATTTCTTGACATATGACAATCAAAATTAGGAGAAGGATCCAACGAAACCTTGTTTTTATCCAAAGAAAGCTGGATTTTCTTCACTTTTCCAAAGATAACCTAAAAGCAAATAATTAAAAATAGCATACCAAAACATTTAAAAACTTTTATATATTCAGAACCAAAATTAAGGTTAACGCTTTTTTAAAAATTAAGAGATATGACAAGAGAGATAATTCCAAATGACTGAGTTGCTTCAACTTTGCAATTATGGCAATTTTCTGTAATTAATTCCTAAGATTTAGAGTAGTTTCAAAAATTTTCAAAAACTATTTTCAGAAATAATTTTGAGTCTGAAAACGAATCTGGAAAAGTAAATAAACAAGAACAGCTCACTTCTGAAAAAAATCTATGGGCCAGAGATAGAGAACAGAGTAGATGACCTGTACTTCTAGATATTTAAATCTTGTCTTAGAATGATGAGACCACAAGAAGAGCTGGATGAACACTCAATAGGACAAAGTAAGTTCTGAAATAAATATACCCCAAATACAGTATAGTGTTAAAGATACAATTTGAAATAAGTGAAACAAGACTATTCAGTAGTTTGAGATGACTAAAAAAGTTTTTGATACTCTATAAACCAAAATAAATTATCAAGTTAAATATTTATGCATTTAACCCCCTTCACACAGGGGGACAAACAACAGAAACCGTGGGGGAAGTGGTCGGTGTAAAGATATGAAAATAACAATTTGTAATTTATCAAGGGGTGACTAGGGTGGGAGGGAAGAGGGAGGGAAAAAAAGAGAAGCTAATACTAAGGGCTCAAATAGAAAGTAAATGTTTAGAAAATGATGATGGCAACCTATGTATAAATATGCTTGATACAACTGATGTGTGGATTGTTATAAGAGCTGTAAGAACCCCCAATAAAATGATATTTAAATTAAAAAACAAGGCAAATAAATATTTATATATTAAAATGCAACAAGGCTAGTACAGCAAGAAACAAATGTCTAATCCCAAGTGAGACATCTTTTCTACGTTGATGTGAAATCCTGAAACAAAAACTCAGAGTGACTATAAGGTACTCTAACACTTCGATACATAAAAGTGAAGTGTAAAATGGTGAAAGCCTGAGCACACTTCAACGACAAAAGATAAGCCAGAAGTGCAAATAACTTGACAAAAGTTTCCCATTTTACTTACATTTAGAAATTCTATTACTTTCATTTTTAACAGGTTAATAATTCACTTAAAAATGGAAACAATACTCGGGGAGGGGAGGGTGTGATGCAGCAACGATGAAACATACAACTTTCCTCTAGTTCCTAAATGCTTCCTCCACCCACCCTACCCCTGCCCCTACTATCATGATCCCAATTCTACCTTACAAATATGGCTAGACCAGAGCATGTACACTGGTACAGATAGGAACTGGAAACACAGGGAATCCAGGGCGGATGATCCCTTCAGGACCTGTGATGTGAGTGGTGATACCAGGAGGGTGGAGGGAGGGTGGGGTAGAAATGGGAAACCAATTACAAGGATCTACGTATAACCTCCTTGCTGGGGGACAGATAACAGAAAAGTGGGTGGAGGGAGACATCGGGCAGTGTAAGATATGACAAAATAATAATTTATAAATTATCAAGGGTTCATGAGGGAGGGGGGGCGGGGAGGGAAGGGAAAAATCAAGTTGATGCCGGGGCTTAAGTGGAGAGCAAATGTTTTGAGAATGATGAGGGCAATGAATGTACAAATGTGATTTACACAACTGATGTATGTATGGATTGTTATAAGAGGTGTATGAGCCCCTAATAAAATGATAGAGAAAAAAAGTATTGGTGGGAAAAGTGTCAGAAGCCAAACAGTCTGTAGATTAGGTCACAGTATTGAACCAATGCTCATTTCTTAGTTCTGACAAATGTGCTATGATGATGAACAATAATAAATGTAATTATTTACTTTATATAACTCAAAAACACTAGTATTTCACCCTGAAAACAAAATATATTCAGATAAACTTAGAGCAAACTGTCTATAATACTTAATATCTGGTTCATACTACCTACCTTAAAAATTACAATACTTTCTACAGTAATACTTCGACTATGAGCATAGTTCAAGGCAATATCAGCATATCGAAATATATAAATTCCAAGCAGAGGGTTTCCTAGTATCTTCAATGTGGATGTGTTGGTATTTAAGCCATTCTGATAGATTTCAAGCAACTCATTTCGAGGAATTGCTAAAAAGCAGAAATGTTCTTCAAGTTCTCGTCCATGTCTTCCATTCTCACGCATCTCTGACCTACAGCAAAATGATGAGTAATTAAATGAGAATATCAGAAGAATTTTCGAGGAGATAAATATGAGTTAGAGGACAGTAAAATTAATGGTAACATTCATAGAAATGACTCGTTTGGTAACAAAGTTAGGCTGAAAGTTGTCTGCAAATTCCGTAAGAGGCTAGAGAACTACGTCAGGATGTACACATCACATTCTATTTAAGCCAGTGATAATGATGACACGGGATAGCAGTTCTTGAGTGTTGTTTATGTGCCCACCTGTTAAATCTTAAGCTTTGCATGCCACTGGCCATCTTGTTCTCAAGCGTAGTGGTTACACGGTGTGCACTGAGTTGCTAACCATAGGGTTGGCAGTTCAAAACCACCAGCTGCTCTAGGGAGAACGATGGGGCTTTCTACTCCTGTCAAGAACTACAGTCTCAGAAACGCACAGGGGTACTTCTACCCTTGTCCTACAGGGTCGTTAGGATTCAGAATCGGCTTGATGGGATTGAGTTTGGTTTTTGGTATTACCAAATTGAAGGTAATCTTCTATTTGGATCAGTGCTATTCTCAAAGTATCCTTTCCCCTAGTCACCTTGTTGGCCAGAAATCATATCCTTTTAAGAAAATCAATGGAATGGGATAATATAATAATATAGATTTGACCCAGAGCTACAAAACCACGGTCAACTAAAGGAAAACATTTTCCTTAGCATTTTGTATTGATAATAATACTAATAAATATTTTATAGTTATCAATGTATCTTTCTGCAGAATTGCATTTGAAAACAACTTGCGGCCTAATTATTTTTTCTTTTTTGGAAGATGGTAATATATATAATAAAACATTTGCCATTTTAACACATTTTACATGCATAATTCGGTGACATTATTTCTAATTTGCTTTTCGAATAGTTTTTGGCTAAAAATTTAGTAAAACTTTGTTTTTTTCAATGTTATTCAAACAGTAGGAACTGTGTTAGTATATTAAAATATAAAAGTTCAAAATCTGAATATTTCCATTTCAGAAACAATAACATAAATTTAAATGTTCTTTTGTATGTACTGCAACATGTAATCACATAATGCTAAGAACTAGGCCATAAAAGTGATCTATTACCACCAATCAGCACCAGGTAAAATTCTTCTTAAAGATATAATTTTTAAAATATGAAGACATAAGAATTAAAATTTTTTCAGAAATATATCTGCATGATTTTTATGTATACTTGAGAGGAATAAATGTCAAAATCTGTCAGACTCAACACTATAATTCCCAAATCAACTCAGTACTTCAAACTGTGTAGTTACCATCCTAGTCACAAGCTTATGACCACTTTTGGTCATTATTTTTAACTCTCATTTTACTGAACATTTGAGCAATATAAAACTTTTGTTGGGAAAACTGACAATGGTAGAGAAGATAAGAGGTTAGTGTAAAAAAAAGTGTAGAACAACAAGTGAATGGTAGACATGACTGGAATCTTGAGTAATCGTCCTCAAGACTTTGAACTCAGAATTAACACTGTGCTACCTTCTTGTTTCCCTAGTGAAACCAATTACAACCAAGTTAAGAGTACAGGGTACAACTGCCTCAAATGTAATGCTTACATCATAGTGAATGATATCATAAAGAATGTTAAAAGAACCGGAATATTGTAAGCAGTCATGAGTAAATGAAAGTCTGAGAAGAATTATTTCTAGGTTGAACTGGAAGGCAAAAGAAAATTGAAGGTATTTAGCTCCTAAGTGTGTCCTGAAGAGAAAAGGAAAATATTCAAGTAAGTACATTTTTTAGAAAACAGTTGAAGAACTGAGATAATTTGCTTTGGAAAGCTTGAAAGGGTGTTTCATAGTTTCCGATCCATCAGATAATGAGATAGGCAGCCATTGTTTATCTAGCTGGAAGTGCAGCACATGAAAACGAAGCACAGTCAGGTAGAGAAAATTAGGATCAACAAGGTTCCATACGAAATTGGCTAAAGCACCAGACATCCGTAGATAGGGCAGTGCATTCATTTTTTTTAATTGCTTCTGTAACAATCACAGGTTTAGCAGTTTAAAACAGTACAAATTTGTTATTTTACAGGTAAGTAGGTCATAAATTTGATACAGGGCTCATCAGGCTAAAATCAAAGTGCTTTGGCAGGGCTGCATTTCTTTCTGCATTTTTTAGGGGAGGGTCCCTTTCCTTGGGAGAATATAAATACTTGTAATTGTATGACTACATGGTCTTTAGTTTCCTTAAGGGTTCTCTGCTTTCCTTGGCTCATGGGTCCCCTTCCAACAACAGCAGGTTGGTTCCCTCTCAGTTTTCTGCCTCCTCTTTCTGATCCACTCTTATGTCTTCCTCTTTGGCTTTTACATTAACATGCGAGTAAAATGGGCTCATCTGAATGCTCTAGAATGCCTCCATCTCTAAGTCTATAATCTTAATCATATCTACAATTTAAATGGGTTCCAGATAATGAGAATCTCCCATACCTTAAGATCCAGAACCTAAAAAGAAAAAAAGATCCAGAACCTAATCCGCACACGCAGTCTCTTTTGCCAACTTTACAGGTTTGAGAGATTAAAGCGTATACATCTTTGGGAGAATATTATACTGCCAACAATAAGCAGATGCTGAATGTATTCAATCCCTGAACATATTAAGAAATTAGGTATTTTTCCCCTCCACTTGACTCCACACTTACTTTGCTGTCCACAGTTTTAGCTTTATCTGTGTCTGGTTTCTCTCGTGGTCAAAACAGGACTACAGGCTTACTTTTCACATCTAGCTGGACAAATACTGATTTTACCTTCTCAGATCTATGTCAGTTTCATGTCTGTTCTAATGGCCCATACTAGCTAGACTCACATTACCAACAAACCAATAATGACAAGGGGAATGGGACAAAAAATGGTTTACATCAAGTATTTTAGATTGTGTAGAATTGGGAAGACGGTAGGCTTGCTTACATACCACTATTACAACATACTTGCCCACACAAAGCACTTTCAATATACATCACAAGAAGGAGCAACCCAAAGCCTCATCTAGTTACCGTGTCTAATTCCAGATTCCTGATGTGAATGGTATACTTACATTTCTAACAGGCTTGGATATAGATCCATAGAGTTATGCAACAAAAGGTGAAGCTACGCTCAGTGATAATCAGCCCTCAGTACAAATCATATTTTTATAAACAAAAATCACCCTAGGATTTCTTGTTCTCAAAATTCAAAAGGCTAGTAACCACAATAAGAAATCTTGCTTAAACAATGAATCTAAGAATTTTTGTGTCTCCTAGCAACAAGCCTCTGAGTTCTCTTGAACCCCTCCTCCCCCACCACCATGAAGCCTCAACTTTTGAATGGCTTAGAAACTGTTTCTTCCCTCCAGAGTGCAGCTAAACTGCTTTGACAAAAAAAATCACTGTGACCAGAGAGAACCTTCCCACGTGACGCTACTGGATGCACTAACTCAGAGCAAGTTGCTCCATCCTTGCCTATCAGGAAAATGCATCGTATGAAAGCTCTGCTCTACCCAGTGTAATTCGTGTATTTTTTGGGTATCCCCTTATTCTGAAATCAGGTAGCCTTTATCAGGGTTGGTTGATTCTGTGACATTAGATGCTATCTGAGATAGAGTTTTCCCCCTTCTTTATGTTGTTGCTATCCACAGTTAAAGGTCATGCTAATGTTAATCATATCAGAACTGCTTCAACTTTTCTCCACTGTATCACTGGCTCAGACTGGCTTAGTTCTGTCCTTTGTAATCAGTCATTGACAAAGTAGATACATTTTCCCATGAAATGCTCAGATGACTTATCCAAGATGGGATGTAAATGGAGGTATTAAACACAAATCATACTCATTTAACCATAGATATCAAACTGGCTACTGACAACCTTTAAAATGAGTTTTTTCCCCCACATAAATTGGAAATACCTAAAGGAATATGTTATACTTAAAGATCAAAACAAGAGCTAAACTGATACAAGTTGTTGTTATTAAATGCGGTCAAGGAGTTCCAACTCACAGCAAAATCAAGAGCAACAAAGTAAAACTGTCCAGTGTGAGTCCACTAGTGCAGCCACGATGTCAATCCATCTTGAGGGTCTTCCTCTTTCTTGCTGTCCCTCTTTTTCAAGACATTATTTATTTGTTCTCTGGAACCAGTCTATGGTCTATTCCATATTATTCATGGACACCATTATTCAAACACATAAATAACTCTTCAGTCTTCCTTATTCACTGTCCAACTGTCACACCCAACTGAATATACCATGAATGGGTCAAGAGCTTCTTAGTTCTCAAGGTGACATCTTGCCTTTTAGCTTGTAGGGAGGTCTTCAGTATCAGATTTTCTAAATCTAGTCTTTTGATTTCTTGACTACTGCTCAAAGGGTTTGATCATGAATCCATGTGAAATGAAATCGCTGACAACTCTGATCTTTTTTCCATTTATTCCAATGCTGTATATTGACCCAGTTGTGTGGGTTTTGTTTTCTTTATATTGAGCTATAATATATACTAAAGGTTACAGTCTTCCATCTTTATCATCAAGTACTTCGAATTCTCTTCAGTTTTGGCAACAAGATGTGCTCCTACATATCACAGCCTTATTCCCATCCTGATGCCACACTCTTCTTCAAAGAATCCATCTTCACAGATCTGCTTAGCATGCAAATTGAAGTATAGTGACAGGATACAACTTTCACCCATACCTTAATTCATTTCTTTAGCCCTTTGTTCTGTTCAAATGACTGCCCCTTGGTCTATGTACAGGTTCTGTGTGAGCATAAACTGTTGGTTTCCCCATTCCTCACGTTATCCATACTTGATTATGACCCACACAATGAAATACATTAGCAAAGTCTATAAAACAAAAGCAAACATCTTTCTGGTATTTTCTCTTTCAGTCAACATCTGCCTGATATCAGAAATGCTATCCTTCATTCCATGTTCTGAGTCAGGCTTGAATTTCGGAAAGCTCCTTGTCAATGTTCTGGGACAACTATTGTTGGATGATCTTCAGCAAGATTTTACTTGCCTATGATATAATGATATTGTCTGATGTTGCATTGTGTGGGGTCACCTTTGGAATGGGTACAAATATCTCTTTCAGTCAGTTGGCCAGACAGCTGTCTTCCAAATATCTTGGCATAGACTAGTGATTGCTTTCAATAAACCATTAGTTTGTTAAAACATTTGTTGGTATTCCATCAATTCCTGGAGCTTTAGTTTTTGCCAATGCCTTCAGTGCTGCTTGAAATTCTTCTTTTGGTATCACTGGCTCTTAAAATAGTTAGATATCAGCCAGTTCTTTTTTGGTACAGTGACTTGAGTTTTGTCATATATTGATGCTTCTTGTATCCTTCAATATTATGTCAAATGTTGTCATTAAATGTCATCAGCAGGCGATGTTTCGTTGTTGCACATTGGGTCATCATGAATCGGAACCAACTCTATGGCAACTAACAACAAATAGAATACTTCAGAATTAAATTCTAGTTTCTGGCTTAATATTGTTTTCAGTACTTTCAGTTGAGAAATTCTGATCATGTTCTTCCATTTTTGTTTTCCAATTCCAAGTCCACACATTTCATTATAATACTTGGTTTTCTCCAGCTGCCATTACATTTTTTTCTGTTCAGGTCTTTTATGCCATTATTTCTTCCATTTGGTTCGCTACTCTATGTTCATGAGCACGTTTCAGTCTCTCTCCTGACATTTACTTTCTTTACTTTTTAATTGTCCGTGGTTTTCTTCATGCATGAAATTCTTATCATCTCTACTATGCATCTGGTCGTTGGTCATTAGTGTTCAAGGATCAAATTTGTTCTTGAGTGGTCTCTGAAATTAGGTGGGTTATACGTAAGGCCATATTTTGGCTCTCATGGGCTTTTCTTCAGTTTCCACCTGGACCTGTGTATAAACAACTGATGGTGTTCCTTATTTTGGCCAATGATGTTAAGCCTCATCGTCAATTCCCACACGCCATAGAGCTCTGAAATATTTTTTTTGATAAACGCAAAGCCATTTCTTCTCAGCTTGTCATTCCTGGCATAGTTGACCACATGGTTGCCCCATCCAAAATGGTCAACACCAGTCCATTTCAGTTCACGAACAGCTAGGAATAACTTCCAATTTGTCTAGATTCATATATTCTGATTAATGGATGTTTGCAGCTGCTCCTTCTCATTCCGAGTCATGCCCCATCAGTAAATCTCCGTCCTGAGAGCTCTGCTCCATCCATGTCAATAAGGTTGACTGCACTGAGGCGGCAGCTCTTCCTCAGCCATATTCTGAGTACCTTCCACGCCGAGTGGCTGCTCCTCGGCACTGTATCATACCATGTTCTGTCATTCATAAGACTGTTCAGTGATGAATCTCTGTGAAGAGCACTAATTATTCTTTCTTTCCGGTGTGTCTTTTCCTGGATGCTCCACTGGGGCCTGCCCACCATGGCGAACTTGTGTTTGAAATACTGGTAGTATAGCTTCCAGCATCACAGCAATAGACAAGGTACCATAGCATGACAAACTGACAGACAAGTGGTGGAAAATGAATACATACAGGACAATGGTATTAGGGAGAATTCCATTCAGTTTCTCTCTTACACACTACAGCCAGTTTCTGAACTCTTCAAAAACCTCTCCTAAGACTACAGTAATAATAACTAATCTCTTATCTTGGTACCTGTATCTTTATTATATCATTTATATTTACTTGTATGTCTTTTCCCAGTAGAACATAAACTCCTAAGAGATGAGAAGCCAGCCTTATCTACTTTTCTCCAAGGGTATCTACAGGTCTAACACAGTAAACATGTGTTGAGTGACTGAGTGAACATATTATTAAGGTATATTTACTGACATCACACTTGTCTTCTATTATCCAGGAGGTACAAAAGAGATCTATAAAATGGCTGCTTAATAAATGTGTTGATGTATGCTTTTGAAGAATATATCAAAATCAGCACATATGAAGCAGATATATAAAATCTGACTACATTAATGCATGAAATGTACTAATCCAATCTCATGTTTAGCTCCCACTGTTACAGAATGCTCCGAGGAGATAAAATCATGCATAAATTATCTAGTAAGTACTAATTTTGCTAGAAATACTTTACCAAATGGTAGAAATAATAAAATTGCACAAACCACCACCACAAAAGAATAAAACATACCCTGTGTAGGTCATGGTAACTTACCTCTTTGTTGTAGTCAGGTGCCATCAACTCGGTTCTGACCCGTAACGACCTTATGCGTACCTGAATGCAACATTACCCAGCCCTGGGCCATGCTCATAATGTTCCTGTGTCTGAGTCCACGGCTGCGGCCACTGAAAGCCGTACGCAGAGCTTCGCAACTTACCTCTTAGCAGAAAATTTTTTTTCCAGATCCTCGTTGTAAATGAGTTTCGTGTCCCCAAATTGCCATGATGACTGTAGGTCATAGTTGACATCAAGTCTGCACTGGTTAAGAGCTGCGTGGATGAAACTATATTCTCTAGTATTGGTGAAACAAGGTGACAAATAAACTAAATTAAAAAAAAGGAAAATAGATATATGTGTTTAGATTCATGTTATCAGACAACTGTACATCAAATATGATTCAAACTAATCAAGTACCTGAAATTTTCATTAACATTTGAAAGCAAGAATTTATGTTTAAAGTTCCACCAGGATAACACAGAATGCACATATCTATAATGTAGAATTTTGTACATTTGATACAAGTAAAATCATAAATTGTGATTTTTCTCTGCATACTTATTGACTTAATGTCTTGGAAACCCAAAGGGACAGTTCTATCTTGCCCTCTCTAGCGTCACTGTGAGTCAAAATTCACTTCACGGGAGATTATTTGATGGTTGGAGAGCACACATTCTGTATGATTTAAAATCTTTCAAATCCGTTGAGATCTGTCCAGAATTTTGTCTATCTTGGTGCCCGTATAACGGGTATGTGAAAAGAACGTCTATTCTGCTGTTATAGGGTGACTGTTGTTAGGTACCACTGAGTCAGTTCTGACCCATAGTGACCCTTATGCATCACAGATCAAAACAGGCGCCATCCTCACAATTGTGCCCATGCTTGAGCCCATTGTTGCAGCCACAGTGTTAATCCATCTCCCGGAGGGCCTGCCTCTCTAGTTTACGAAGCATGATGTCCTTCTCTAGGGACTGGTCTCTCCTGACCACATGTCCAAAGTATGTGAAACTAAGCCTCGCCATGCTTTCCTCTAAGGAACACTCTGGCCATCCTTCTTCGAAGACAGATTTGTTTGTCCTTTTAGCAGTCCATGGTACTTTCAATATTCTTCCCCAGCACCATTCAAACACATCACTTGTCTGTCGGTTTGCTGTACTGTTGTGGCTTGTACGTTGCTGTGATGCTGAAAACTATGTCACTTGTCTTTCAAATGCAAACAGGTTTCAGGATTGCCTCCAGTCGAAGGAGGACTCGGTTGCCCATGTTGGGGGAAGTAGCCGTTGAAAACCGTATGCTGTTGGGAGGCGTAATCTACAAATATCATTCAGATCCATCTGGCTGACAGTGTTAAGTTCTTCTAATTTTCTTGCTGATTTTTTTTAATCCAGTAGTGCTATCAAATGTTGTACCCAATGTGAAATGAAGTCTTCAACTGTAACTCTGGATTCAGCTCTCTCTCCTTTCAGTTGTATCATTTTTTGCTTTATATGTTTTGAGGCTTTGTTGTTCACTACAAGCACATTAGGAAGAAGCATTAGTAGTACAGTAACTTACACATTTACCTGCTAACTTCAAAGCCAGTGGTTTGAACCCACTGGTGGATCCAGGGAGAAAGATTAAATCTTTATGGAAAAGCAGAAAGCCTTAAGCTTTGGAAACCCCAAGGAGCAGTTCTACTCTGTCCTACAGGGTCACTATGAGTTGGCATCAACTTGATGGCAGTGGGTTTGCATTTTTATTATCTTCTTGAGGAATTGACCCCCCCCTTCTTCTTCTTTTCTCTAAATTTTATTTCACAAGCTATGAACACAGCTATTTCTGCTTTATTTTGGTTAACATTTGCAGTCTGTATTTTCCCAAAAGCTTACTTTCAACTAACCTTAATATATTTGAAGTGAGTTTCCAATCAACAGTACAGAGTTGAATCATGCTTTATTACTCATTCTGCCAACATGTCTTTTAATTGGCATTTTACATTTAATATAATTATAATTTATATTTACATTGATCATGCACATAATTATAATTTATGTTTACATTGATCATGAACATAATTATTGATATGTTCAGGCTGAACCTTGCCATAAGATGTCTATTTTGTTTTTCTACTTCAGTTAAATTATGTTTCATTTTGTCTCCGTACCTGTAAGTTACTTGAATATGTTTTAAAATTACATCTTGATTTAACTATGGCATTTCTGAGTGCAGTGGTCAATGAGTAGTGAAAATCTTACCTTCTATGAGGGAGAACTGGGCTCAATTGTTAGACTTCAAATGCAGCCACCACCGTCTATCAGAGGAAGCTTGTATGCTGCTATGATAATTATAGCCACCACTGTCTATCAGTGGAAGCTTGTATGCAGCTATGATAATTATAGTCACCACTGTCTATCAGTGGAAGCTTATATGCGTCTATGATAATTATAGCCACCACTGTCTATCAGTGGAAGTTTGTAT